TTTTGTATTATTAAAACAAAAAATTAATTGAAAAACATTTTATTTTTATTCTTATAATTTCTAAAGGTAGAAAAGATTTTAAAATTGCTTTTAAGCAGAATATTTTTATTTAAGTAGGGTAGGGTTTTAAAAATGAAAATCTGCAACAAGATATCTTGGCCATTGAGATATCAACTAATACTTGTTAAATTTGAGCTTTAAACTATCAACAGAGGCAGTTATTAAAGCTCCATAGAAAAAATCTTTGTTATCTGCTTAATTCTAATCCTCACGTATGAATATTGAAGATGGGGATTTTTTATTTTTTAATAACAAAGTTTTTTTTTCCTTTATCTTTATTTATGGATGAAACAGTCAGATTTCTCTGGAACAATTTTGTTAAAATTTGTATTTTGTCTAATTATATAAAATGATCTAAAAATTTGTATTGAAAGATTTTTCGACTGATAGTAAATAAATAATACGAAATAATAAATAATTTTTTAAAAAAGTTATTTTTTACCTGGAATTATCTTTGGAAAAACGAATTCTATAACTGTATACAGATTTCCTTGCTCTTAAACAGTTCTTGAGATGCGGTGAAGTTTTCGAATAGTAAAATTAACATTAAGGGGTCCATTAAACTTTCAATCACTTTCCTGGCCAAATCATTAGAACCAAATATTATGCTACGCTCTGTATTTTGGTGGTTAGAAATAATAACCTGTAAAAAAAAAGGGAAAAAAAAAGGTTTATTCAGAGAAAGTGTGTTTTTGTGTCTGATTTCATAAATAGAAATATCATTTGCACTGATTTCACCCCTTATCCTTAAGGTTGATTTCTAGTAAGAGAAAATCTGACTGTTAAATCAAAAGCAATTTAGAGTGCATATTTTCTTGTTTTTTTAGCTGAACATTATTGCTAAATTTGGGTCCGTTAACGGGCCTTTTACAAAATAATTTATCTTTTAATCGGACCCTTGACAAATTTGTTTATCTCCATTATTGTTTTGTTAATCGAATAAACCCTTCCCAGGAAGGGGGGGGGGAAGACATATGTAAACAAACTAGGTTTTGTCTTCGTAAGACGCTTTTTCCTTTATTCTTCCGAAATGAATATTCTGCGTTCAGCAGTATAGGCTAAATACCAAATATCTGTATGTTGCAATACTAATTTAGTAGCGACAATTGCTGTTTTTTTTTTTTTTAATTTAAATTTACTTAATTATAATTTTACGGTGTTGAGCATAATCTTGTATGTGTTTACAATTTAAAAACTCCTTGAAAAAGTTTTCTGCTTTAATAGGACCCTATTTGCACAAATTCACAGAAGCAGGACCCCGGTTGAAAGAATGTGACTTAACGTTTATTTTATATTCACAAATTACGAGTAATTTTTTCACAATTTTACAAAAACGGACCTTTCACAAAATGTCTGGATAGACCTCTGTATATATGTCGACAAAAGACTAAATTTTTAATATTTTTAAAGTTAATTTGTTACCTTCTTTTAAAAATGCTTTTTTTCCTAAACTATTTCATTTTTATGGAATATTTTATTTCAAGGTGAAGTTTTAATGGCTATTTTTAATTTAATGAATGTATGTTTTCTGTTTATATTTAATAATTAGTTGTTGAGATACATTATTTTCTTAATGGATATATGAATTGAATCGAAATATATCACTTTATGAATTATTGATTTTGCCATGTACATTATTTTATGAATTAAATTATTATATTATTTTAATCAAAAAATTGGAAAAAAATCAATTAGCTACCGGAAATGAGGCCTTTTTTGTTTTTCAAATTTTAAACTTTTGTAGTTGATTGGTAAACATTTCAAATTTTTAAAATTCTTACGAAATATTCCCACGTATTAACCAAAGCAATCTTTACTCAAAACACAAAATACAAGTTATAAATTAAAAAGTCATATAAATAAATTGATCATAAATTAAAATAAAACAAATTATTTAAAAAGTTTAAACTGTTGTGACTGCAAAACAAAAAGGGTGTTTCCTCACATTGGAGCCCAAATTTCATGTTATTTACCATAGTCTGATAGAAACGTATCATGACAGTGATAAATAACGTATTTATGGAAATTATCCTTTTTACGCCTCTATTATTACCGCATTTCCGGAAGACAGAACCACTGTGGCTGATGTGTATGCTTTGAATTCGTTCTCGAATGATGAAAAATGAATAATGGTTTAGGTAATGTTGAAAGAGAAATCTTTTTATGTGGGTCAGAAATGAATTACAATTGCCACTTAAAATTCCTTAAAAATTAAGAAAAAACAGACGAGAATAATGAATGAAAAAATCGATGTCATCAACCTTTATTCCGGTATTATAATGTTGTTACTAAACAAACTATAGTAGATCTATCTAGGTTGATGTATGGAATTAAGTGACTTTGGTTTTATTCTGATAATCGCCACAATGGATAAAACTATTAGTTTTTTAAATGAATTTGACCCATTATTATCTTGGTGTCGATCGTTTTAAAGGGTTTTTCCGGCGCTCTTTGCGCGAAATAATATATTTAGAACTATCAATCCAATATTAAGAGTGTGTGGATTATGTTACTGAATATTTGACATTTTTATTAATAATTCCGTACAGTAAGTTTCCCTCTTGAATAGAGAATAAAGTCTACAATTACTTTTTTCAATATTTTACTATAAAAAAAAAAGATTTTTTTTTCTTTTTTTCTTTTGCTTTGAAAATTAAATAAAAGCATTTGCGGAACTTTTTTGAACATGCTTTTAATATTCTTTCCATATGTAAAGCACGATGCTTTTCGTTTTCTGCTGCATGCTGTAACTTTTTCTGGTTTTTAATCAATCAAGTGATTTGGTTCCCAATTAAAAGCTAAAATTAGTGCAAATTACTATTTCTTCGCAGTGTCGTACACACATCTTTGACATTTTTTGCGGTTATACTTTTTCTGTGATTCTATAGCCGTTATTTTCTAGCCCTTGCATGTAATCAATTAAATCTTTGACCAACAAGAAAAGTTACTCCTCAATTTTGTAGCATAGATGTTATGCTACTTAACGTCTCCATATTCGGCATTTTTTACTAAAATTTTAAATCAGTTAAATCAGAGTTAGAGAGCCGGAACTTTTTATCGTAAATCTATTTTTACGGGAACAAGTTGATCGAACAAAAAATCTGATATACCGTAATTTTTACAGAAATAATTAAGCGTAAACTAACTGCATCACTCAAATTAACTAAATAATGTAAAAATTATCGTATAATATTTTGAGGTAAAAATGGATTTTAGGGACCAAAGAGCTGCATACCGTAATTTGATCTGCAATTTCTTACAGTGTACCTGTTATCTAACATCTGACCAGTGGTAAAATTTGTATTTTAATTTTGTCGTATTGTTGTATTTGTTCTATATCGTTTGTGTCATTCCTCATTCAGTGTCAGAATTTTCATTCTAAATCACGGTAAAATAACCAGTAGCAGTCTATTCATCCAATTAACCGTAAGGTTTACGGTAAAGAAAATTTTTCAGCTTAACGGTATTGAAACCGTTTACAACAAGTACTGTTGAAAATCCATGAATACAAAAGTATATAGTTTTTTAAATCATTTACAACTAGTATGGTTTCAAAGCCGTAAAAAAGAAATTTAACTGGACATCAGAGTTAAGTTGCGGTGGAGTTGCGTTTTATCGAATGAACCTTAGAATGTGGTTTAATTAGTTTATCTAGTTAATTCACTTATCCTTAGTACTATACTTTTTTGTGTTAAGCAACATAATGGTGCTGCCATATATGCGTGAATAAGACTATTCTAAGCACTCTAGTAGCCCAGGGCCACGAATCAAGGAGTGCAGGATACTTGAAAACTCTTTATGTGGTGAAATGAATGGTAAAATATTGTGGCATAAACGATAAGACAGAACCCCCGTTCTGTTGGTCATAAGATTGACTGAGTAACCCCTTCGGCTGTAATGTGTACCCAGCTGCAAGTGGCTTCATTAGTTGGGCCTATTTAGTGCTATAAAATTCAGGTTGTTTAACCGTATTGGTTGAAAGCAGTTAATAAATGATTTTTTTCTTAGTTGACAGTTATTATATATGGTTCTACCATACATACGAAAATCCTATTATACATGGTTTTTTGCCTGTTTGGTTTGAATGTGGTAAAATAACAATGAAATAAGTTATTATTTAACCCTTTTTGCTGATAAATTTCTAACCCTGTTTATTAAAATAAACTGGTGTAAGAAATTAAGAGATTTTTTCAGAGTTTGTCGATTATCTCTAGAACTACTGGACCGATTTTAATGAAATTTGATACGTACATACATTGATACAATACAAAACAAATAACCATTCAACAATTGTAATACACACGCATGATCGTGCGTAACACTCGTTGGAGTCGGAAAGTAGGAAACCGCGGTTGCAGAATGAACAAAAAAAAAAAGAGTCAATAGGGGGTTTGGTCCCCTCTTACAGATATACAGGCCTTGCAGCGTGATTTCATACTTGAAATAAGGCGATTTATCATCATTCCCTGTGGCAATTTCATACCTTCCTACTCCAACGAGTGTTGCGCACGATCATGCGTGCGTATTACAATTGTTGAATGGTTATTTGTTTTGTATTGTATCAATGTATGTACGTATCAAATTTCATTAAAATCGGTCCAGTAGTTCTAGAGATAATCGACCAAATCTAAAAATCCTTTTAATTTCTTACACCAGTGTACTTTAATTCGAGGTTTTAACCGAACAAAATGAATTAACGAAACAATATTTCCGAAGTCAATAGCCTTAAATTGTTCAAATTAATTTGACCCATTCTAACTGCTAGGGTGAATTCTCTAAAATATTTTACCGTTGATCTATACAACCAAACCCAAAGCTATCAATCAGATGTCATAAAATGTGCGAGGCGTATTTTATGTTTATTGTTCAACTGATGTTCTAACTAGTCTTTTAAAAAAAAGTAATTCTTGGGAGTTCTAATTGTACTATTTTTTTTCCAGGCATAATTATGTAAATGAAATCATGAAGACCATTCCGTCCAGTGGAAGAAGGTAATAATTATTTTTTAAAGTTATCTTTCTATCTCAATAATTCTCTTTTTTATTTCAATTTTTATATCACATTTTAATGCAGTTAATGATGATGTATTAGCAAATAGGTTTTAAAGTCGCCAATTGAACTTTCAATAAGAACCTCAAATATGTAATGTTGAACATGCTGCAATATTTCTAAGATTTCTATGCAGTCGTTCAGAGAAATAAATAAATATAAACTACTTCCTAGAAATGAAACTTCATTGTAAACTTGCTGGGTTTTTTTGTTTGTTTCGTTTTTGTTTACAAGAGTTATAGAGTTGTATTTTAAACTATAGTTGGTTTACCGATTCAAATTGGTCTTTGTTCCTATTTAAACAGAGTTTGCATTTAAAATGTCATAATTTATTCAAAGTTTAGATAGGGTAAGTAACTGATTCTTTTTTTGTTTTAATTTTTGAAAGATTTTTCCTTTTTTGATTGAAGTCAAATTTTCATCTAACAACGAAATAAAATGTTCCAAACGTTTACCATTACTATTATATTTTTAACGTTCAACTACTATTATGTAATAAAGATAAATTTGATAAAATAACACTAATTTTAAAATTTAATCAGCTTTAATTATAGATATGATTCAGCACACTTTTGGTGTCTCTTAAACTTCATTTTCCTTTTAGCAAAAAAACGCGCAAAATTTTTTACAGATAGCTAGTTGCAATTTCTAATGACTCGTAAAATATTTCAAACTTATGAATATGAAAGATTAAAAATATTATTAAAAATATTATTTAAACTATAGTTACTATTTGAGCTTATATTTGTATAAATTTCTCTATATATAAAAGTGAAAGTCTGTATGTATGTTACTTCAATAACCCGTGAACGTGTTTTTTTCTATAGTTTACGAATATTCATGCAGTAGTTTGTAAACAATCGCTAATTACCGGTTTCAAATAATTCTGAAGCAATAAATCTCGAAATACTTGAAATTCTACTTATTTAATTAAGCAAGAATTAATTTTAAAATTTAGTAATTTTTATTATATAATAAATTCAGCCGTTTTTTTTTTTTTTTTTTTTTTTTTTTTTTTTTTTTTTTTTTTTTTTTTTTTGGTGGTCCTAAATTTTAGTGCCCCATACAGATCATTCTATTTGTTATTTCAAGAGCGATTTTTAATCAAAAGAAAACTAACAAATAGTAAAATAAATATTAATAAAATTATATTGTTTGAGAAGTAGAATAAGTTTAAAATGCTTCATTTAACAAATCTTATGTAATTATTTTTGTTATCTTTGAAAATGATACTTATATAAGATGTCGTTTAGCGAAATTAATAATTAAAATTCACTTCCTTTAGAAGAAAACTGTTTTGATTACTTATTTACTTATGTTCAATTTCTGTTAAAAAAATAACTTCAAGGTTGTGTTGTAATTTGCATGTGAAGTTTTGCATAGAAACTGGCTTTTTTCTTTTGTAAATACAGAGTTTACCTTTAGGAGGCATATGTCATCGAAAATTAAACTATAATTGATTATTATTAATTACTACTTCTGATTTTAGTTTTATTTTTGCTCAAGGTTCAACTCTGACTCTTCAATTTATCCATAAATTACTAAAAGGGTGTATTTTAACTAAGACTATATACAATTTTAATTTTTAAAATCTAATTGTATTGAAAATTAGAATTTTCTAAGATTTCAATTAAATATTTCAGAGAAAGAAAGAAATATAACTTACTTCCTTGACACAAGAAAATAAAAAATAATCGTTATAATAATGCTTATTTTATTCTAAACAAAAAATTTTTATATTATGGAGAAATCATCATTTTATGACATCTTTGCGCACTGTTTTATCATGCAAAAAGTGTATAAAAAGGACTGAAAATTATGTCACGAGACTTTATTTACAGGACTTATTTACTTCATACAAAAAACTTATTTACAAAACGTTTTAAATTTTAAAATTGCAAAAAATATCATGTTTCTAATTTTTGATATAACTAAAGAAAGTAATAAAAAAAATTTTAAGCTCTTACATTATTTTTTTTAAATTCAGAATAGAGAATATTTTGATGTTATTTTTCCTTTATTTTTTGTTAATTATGCTTAAAATGCTTTAAAATATTCTTAAATTAAAATTACATATCTTTCTTTCTCTTAAATATAAAACATTGTATGTTTTGTAACAGTTTTACGCGAATTTCCTAAACACCTAATAAAGTAAAAAGGTTAAAAAATATTTTTCTATCCGAAATTCAATGCAATATGTAATTAGGTTTGGAATATATCGTTTTAAAGTAGGTAACAAAAATTAAACAAAGAATCATCATTGAGAAAAAAAAGCTTTCTTAGATTTAACATTTACTTAAAATCCAATCTATGGACAAAATAAATCCATGATTTATCACTATTGTATATGAAATGTAAACAAAATTTCTTCCTCATTTATATTATTTTTATGGAAAAAAAGTGAGTTATCTATGAACTGTACACCTCAGTAAACACCATTCGCGTTATAAAATAGCAGAGATTTGTTAAATATTTTGTAATTATATTTCTCTAACAAGAGAAAGGCACCTAACCCTTTTGCTAACTATAATCAATACGAATGTTGAGCTCTGCCCAAAAATGTTTTATTTATGCATATAAACCATAGTCCTAAATAAATAGAATTACATGTAATGCATGTATAATTTAATTATATTAACATGTATAATGTAAATTTCATTTTACATTTGAAAACAAAGTTTGGAATTTGAGAAATGTCGAAAATATATAATTTATAATAATAAAAAACATTTAAAAAATGAGTAATGGAGTTTGGTACAATTTTAGCCCGTAAGTATACTTTTTAAAAATTATGTTTTTTTTTTGTACTTTTTCACGCAGGAAACATTTGCGCAATATTTTTTTTTTAATTTCACTTTTGAAAAACTGTGCATAACATGCAATTGTATCTCTCCCTAATATACGATTTAACTATTATCGAATGAGATAATAGACTCTTCCAATAATAATTTAAAACGTCTGTGAAGATTTTGTTAAAAACGACTGTGCTAAAAACGACAAGGAGAAATGGGAAGCGGCTGTAAATGCGTGTAAAAGAACTCCCCGTGTGTTTTTTCAGGCATGGCAAACTGGCAACATTCACTGATCAAATTTGTTCAGCGCCCCTCTACTTTATAAGACTTAACTAGTAGTTTTAGGCAACGAGTTTATCATTTTCTTTTAAGTATTTTTAATTGAATTTAAAAAAATCATCATGATTGTTTGGTTATTTGTTTTACTTTATTTCCAAAAAATACTTGGAAGTTACTTTTTTAAGGATGTCATGTGTTAATGAAGACAAAAGTATATTTTGTAAAGTAAATTATGATTTGATTTAAATATTTTATTTCTTAATATTTTTCAAGTTCTTAAATTTGCCTCTTTGGCGAATAAAATGTATATTTCTATGAATGACACACCTCTTGTCTTTTCAAATTTATAAAAGAATAAATATGAAAATCATTGATTACTTATAATTTCTACATCGATAAATTTTTCGATAAATTTTTAAGTGTAGATTTTTTCTTTTCTCTGTTTATAGTATAACTTTTCACACAACCGAATGAAACTGAAATAAACAGGAGTAAATAAAATTATGGCACAGAAACACTTTTTATGAATAATAGAACAAAATGTAATTTAAAAGATTAGGAATTGTTTTGAAAGTTTCATGTTTCTACACCTATGCACAATATGAAAAAAAAATCACACCACTGCATTAAATTCACGTTTTCCAGTCTGGATTTAATAAATTTTATTGAAAGGAGGTACAAAAAGCACAACTTTAAAACTATAAATCACAGAGAAGAATAATTTGTTCATGTCATTAATATAATCGTACAGAAGTAAACAAAAATAAGACCGAGCCACTCGATTATAAATCATGACGAGAGATTTATTCATATTTACTGTTGTAAAAGCTAATCGTTCCCTTGAAGGTACAAAAGGACGCAGACTTTTTGACCAAAAAGAAAGAAAATTTTATTTACTAAAAAGCCTACACTTATAAAAACTTACACCCTGCCCTGTCGATTTAAATTTCCTTCGAGGAATAGCAAATATTTCAAAATGGATGCTGCTAGTTGCTTTTCCGCTTTCATTTAATGTTTTTTTTAGAAGAAATATATTATCTAAATAATGTTCACTTATTTTCATTGAAATAACGACAAAATACTTAACAAACTTTCTTTATATCTATTAAAAGTGTCATTTATGTCAAAGTGTCATGTCAAAGTCAATGTCAATGTCAATGTCAAAGTGTCATATATTTCAGAAGTTACTATATAGAAAAGTTACTAATATATTTATAAATATATTAGTTCACATTGTTCATGCATTTTATTGATACAATATGAAAACAACTACCTTAAAACTTCATTTTTAAGTATTTAATAATCTTTATACCTATTTTGGTTAGAGAATATAGCTATACATCGATGTTTGGCGAAAAGAAAAAAACAATAATTTATTATAATAACTGTTATTTTTTTAATGAAACGTGATTTCTTAAGAAAAAAATCATAAAAAATATTATTCATGAAACATTGAAACGCTTAAAAGACAGGAAAAAAACCTCATAATGAAATTTTGTATTAATTTTCTGAATGAGATTTAAATAATGATTGATTTTTATCTAGTTATACATACAATATAGCTATATTTAATATAGCTATACATCGATGTTTAGCGAAATGAAATCAATAATTTATTATAATAACTGTTATTTTTTTAATGAAAAGCGATTTCTTAAGAGAAAAATCATTAAAAATATTATTCATGAATCATTGAAACACTTAAAAGACAGGGAAAAAAATCTCATAATGAAAATTTTTATTAATTTTCTGATTATGATTTAAATAATGATTGATTTTTTTTAAACTTTATTTTTCCTCTTGATATATATATATTGACAACATTGATTAAAATCGAGGTCAAGTCACTTTCAAACTGATTACCAAATAAA